TTTTGACCTGCTCCGTGTCCGACCTGGGCCGGTGCCCCCCTCCTTAGACGACCTGGTGGTCCCGGGCTCCACCAGGAGCACCATATCGATGCCGAACTTAGTGCGGACACCCGTTCGGCATAGTCCCTGCAGCTCAGAGCTCCTGAGCTCAAACGCTCCTCCAGCCTCAGCCTCCCGGTAACTGGGATTACAGGCGCGCGCCACCGCACCCGGCGAGAGGACTCTGCACCGGAGAGGCTTTGGGGTTTAGAGACGTGACGTCATGTCTTGTTTTGTATCATACACAATGATATTCTTCCTCTCTTCATCAGTTTCCAACTTGTTTATCAAATTCAGCTGATGATTTGTTTTGCTTAAGTTATTGGGAAGTTTGATATAAGAACATTTACAATTAGACAGGTAGTTTATGCCTAAAACTATGTCGTTTTGTTGTCCTGAGTCTTTTCCAGTCATTTCCAGTTTTTATCAGGAACATTTTTTATAGGTTTGAATGTTTTATGTCGACTCATTTACTTCTGGTGAAGTCTGACGACTGGCATACATTTATTGCTAAAACTGAAAGTTTAACTTTGAATGCTGTATGATTCTTAGTATGCACATCTTGACATTTGTATATTAATACAAGAATATGAGTGTGTTTTTTTTACATTGTACTTTAGTCCTTGTGAGTTTAAATGTATACATATCCGTCAGTAGCTTGTCATCCTAATTTCTCAGTAATACTAATAACACTTAATGGATGCTGGCTAACTGTAAAATAAATTAAATAAAACATGAGAAATATTAAAGTATCCCTTTTTGGTTCATTTTTGTGGATTCAAATGACAGATCTGATGACTGCAGAGATTGATGGACTTTATAGAACTCTAACAAGAGCAGGAGTTGGTGATGAAGGTGGAGGATGAGGAGGAGGAATAAAGGTCTCTGATGCTCGGCTGTGGATCAGCTGCTGTCGATCTGGAAGACTGTGAAGTCCACCAGGACCTGGAGGAAACCTGAGAAACTGGAGGTAGAGTTTGACGGAGGTTGAAGAGGGAACATGGTTTTAGCAGTTAGGTCCAACAGGTGGGAGGTTTCCAGAAGAGGTTTTAGGTGGAGCATGCGTCTGCAGCTTCCTGCTGTCTGCAGGTGGAGGCTGGGTATGAAGGCAGAGTTCAGATCTGCAGCTGGAAGAGGGGGGAGAAGTTCTCAGATCTTGTACTTGAGTAAAAGTACTAGAGTGTAGGAATACTCTGTTACAAGTAAAAGTCCTGCATTCAAAAGGTTTCTCAAGTAAAAGTACAAAAGTATTGGCATCAAAATATACTTAAAGTATCAAAAGTAAAAGTACTATGCAGATTGCGTCTTCTCAGAATATTATGTAGCCTATTATATGTTTCAATTATAATGATTGATGCAATAAAGTGTTTATCAAAGGTGCAGCTATAGTTTTAATGACTTTATATTCTGTGTATGTGTTACACAATCACAAAATATATATTGTATTCGATGTTTTGTCAGTGGAATGAGACAACTGAAGTAAGTAGATTACATGCAAACGTTAAAAATAAATCAACTGGGGATTGATGCTCCTTGCTGCTCTCCTCCAGGAGGAGGCGCTCAGGACAAACACACAGAAGTGGTTTGTGAAGGTTTCCATGTGAAGAACCAAATAAATGTAGAGAGATGAAGCTGCTGTAACATGTAAACACATTGTTGTTGAGTGTGTGTGTTGTCCCAGGTGTGTGTTCAGAGTGTATAAAGACATGGGTCCCGCTGTATTGCTCAGGCTTCACTACAGCGTCTATTCACAGGCGCGATCCCACTACTGAGCGGCACGGGGGTTTTGACCTGCTCCGTGTCCGACCTGGGCCGGTGCCCCCCTCCTTAGACGACCTGGTGGTCCCGGGCTCCCCCAGGAGCACCATATCGATACCGAATTTAGTGCGGACACCCGTTCGGCATAGTCCCTGCAGCTCAGAGCTCCTGAGCTCAAACGCTCCTCCAGCCTCAGCCTCCCGGTAACTGGGATTACAGGCGCGCGCCACCGCACCCGGCGAGAGGACTCTGCACCGGAGAGGCTTTGGGGTTTAGAGACGTGACGTCATGTCTTGTTTTGTATCATACACAATGATATTCTTCCTCTCTTCATCAGTTTCCAACTTGTTTATCAAATTCAGCTGATGATTTGTTTTGCTTAAGTTATTGGGAAGTTTGATATAAGAACATTTACAATTAGACAGGTAGTTTATGCCTAAAACTATGTCGTTTTGTTGTCCTGAGTCTTTTCCAGTCATTTCCAGTTTTTATCAGGAACATTTTTTATAGGTTTGAATGTTTTATGTCGACTCATTTACTTCTGGTGAAGTCTGACGACTGGCATACATTTATTGCTAAAACTGAAAGTTTAACTTTGAATGCTGTATGATTCTTAGTATGCACATCTTGACATTTGTATATTAATACAAGAATATGAGTGTGTTTTTTTTACATTGTACTTTAGTCCTTGTGAGTTTAAATGTATACATATCCGTCAGTAGCTTGTCATCCTAATTTCTCAGTAATACTAATAACACTTAATGGATGCTGGCTAACTGTAAAATAAATTAAATAAAACATGAGAAATATTAAAGTATCCCTTTTTGGTTCATTTTTGTGGATTCAAATGACAGATCTGATGACTGCAGAGATTGATGGACTTTATAGAACTCTAACAAGAGCAGGAGTTGGTGATGAAGGTGGAGGATGAGGAGGAGGAATAAAGGTCTCTGATGCTCGGCTGTGGATCAGCTGCTGTCGATCTGGAAGACTGTGAAGTCCACCAGGACCTGGAGGAAACCTGAGAAACTGGAGGTAGAGTTTGACGGAGGTTGAAGAGGGAACATGGTTTTAGCAGTTAGGTCCAACAGGTGGGAGGTTTCCAGAAGAGGTTTTAGGTGGAGCATGCGTCTGCAGCTTCCTGCTGTCTGCAGGTGGAGGCTGGGTATGAAGGCAGAGTTCAGATCTGCAGCTGGAAGAGGGGGGAGAAGTTCTCAGATCTTGTACTTGAGTAAAAGTACTAGAGTGTAGGAATACTCTGTTACAAGTAAAAGTCCTGCATTCAAAAGGTTTCTCAAGTAAAAGTACAAAAGTATTGGCATCAAAATATACTTAAAGTATCAAAAGTAAAAGTACTATGCAGATTGCGTCTTCTCAGAATATTATGTAGCCTATTATATGTTTCAATTATAATGATTGATGCAATAAAGTGTTTATCAAAGGTGCAGCTATAGTTTTAATGACTTTATATTCTGTGTATGTGTTACACAATCACAAAATATATACTGTATTCGATGTTTTGTCAGTGGAATGAGACAACTGAAGTAAGTAGATTACATGCAAACGTTAAAAATAAATCAACTGGGGATTGATGCTCCTTGCTGCTCTCCTCCAGGAGGAGGCGCTGCAGGACAAACACACAGAAGTGGTTTGTGAAGGTTTCCATGTGAGAACCAAATAAATGTAGAGAGATGAAGCTGCTGTAACATGTAAACACATTGTTGTTGAGTGGGTGTGTTGTCCCAGGTGT